TCACCCTCTGCTCTGGCTCCTCCATCATTTGAGCACCAGGCAATCAGGAAGGAGAAGAGGCTACCAGAGAGCCTATTAGTGAGAACAGCTCCTTCTCACCCAAGAGCAGAGGCACCAAGGGTCAGGAATGGTCATCTCTGAGTTCTACCCATGCAGGGCAGGTGGAGACCTAGGGTCCTGTGCCTGGGGGTCACTGAACAGTCTTCATTATGGGTCCTACCATGGGCTGTGGGCAGAGGGAACTGCAATGCCCAGGACAGCCTCCAAGGCCCAGCAATTTATCCAGACCGGGAGTGTTACTTACCTAACTCTCAGCACTTTGTTCCTGAGTCCTTGCCCTTTTTGGGGGGTGGGGGGGTGGGGGGGTGTCCGGTCATGGAGCTTGAACTCTCGGCCTGGGTGCTGTCCCTCAGCTCTTCAGCAAAAACAGCGCCACTTCCGGCTTTTTTCTTTTTGCTTATGTGGTGCTGAGGAATCGAACCCAGGGCCTCAGGCATGCAAGGCAAGCCACCTTCCCACTGAGCCACCCCTCCTTGCCTTTTTTTTTAAGACAGGGCCCTGGCTAGACACTGGTGGCTCATACCTATAATCCTAGCTACTCAGGAGTCTGAGGTCTGACAATCACAGTTCAAAGCCAACCTGGACGGAAAAATCTCTGAAATTCTTTTTTTTTTTTTGGAGGTCATGGGCTTGAACTCTGGGCCTGGGCCCTGCCCCTGAGCTCTTCAGCTCAAGGCAAGAGCTCTCCCACTTGAGCCACAGAGCCACTTCCAGTTTTCTGGTCATTTATTGGAGGTAAGAGTCTCACAGACTTTTCCTACTGGGGCTGGCTTTGAACCATGATCCTCAGATCTCAGCCTCCTTAGTGGCTAGGATTATAGGCATGAGCCACCAGCACCCAGCTCTCTGAGATTCTTATCTCCAATTAAACAGCAAAAAATGGCAGAGCACAAGGCCTGAGTAAAAAAGTAAGCAAAAGCACAAGGCCCTGAATTCAAACCCCAGTACCAGCACCCCTCCCCCAGCAAAAAAAAAAGGAGCATCACTATAGATCCTACAGACATTAAGAGTAAAGTCAAACTTATGAACTTTATGCCAATAAATTCAACAATTTAGATGAGATACGTTTCTTTCTTCTTCAAACATAAAATGGCAAGCAAAAAACAGAAGCAGTCATTTATCAAAGAGTGTTTCACCTGAGACATCTAGAAAAACCTCCCTGGGCCTCTCCCTCCCGCACCCTGCAACTTCAAACAACTGGATCTGCCAGACCCAGAAGGCCACATGCTGCCTTGGGCTCAGAATTGATGGCTTACAGCAGAGGTAGTTGGACCTCTCAGTAACCAACCCCACACACACATACCTACACATCCACTTAAGTATATGGTTAGTTTCAGATGTGGGGAGCACAGGGAGCTAGTATGCACCTGAGCCGGTCACAGTTCCCCTCTGAGCCTCAGTTCTCCATTTGTAAAATGCACCACTTGTTCTGCTTAGTAGAGATCAACTCAAAGGCTCCATAGAGGAGATTGGAGGGCTTGGTAAAGAGAAACAAAGCGCTCAGTGGTAGAGCGCTTGCCTTGTATGCATGAGGCCCTGGGTTCGATTCCTCAGCACCACATAAGCAGAAGAAAAAAAGCCGGAAGTGGTGCTGTGGCTCAAGTGGTAGAGCGCTAGCCTTGAGCTGGAGAGCTGAGGGACAGTGCCCAGGCCAAGAGTTCAGGCCCTACGACCAGACCCAAAAAGAGAGAGAGAGAGAGAAACAAAGGTATCCGCAAACATCTGAGAGCCAGTGGCAAGTACCACGGACCAGCTGCATCCCACAGGGACACCTTCCTGTCCTCCTGGGTCCAGCACTGGCGGTGGCTTTTCTCCATCTCCCTGGCTTCATGGAGTTCTTTCTGGAAAGGACATGGCTCCCCCTTCTGGCCATGTGGAAGAATTGTCAACCCCTTCACCTGCTGAGCGAAGAGAAGCAGCTGCCAGAGTTCTGCTTTTAGTGGCTGTGCCCAAGTCACTGTGCTGCACTCTTCTGCTATTACCTTGAACAATGATAATCAAGACAGCTCAGGTGTTGGGCACTTGTTACCTCCACAAAATCAAGTTTAAAAACATAAGCTATTTAAAAAGAAAAAAATAACCAGGAAAAAATATACTTAAATAACAATAAAATTATATTTTTAAAAACAAGAAAAAAAAGAAAATAGAGGGCTGGGAAGGTGGCTCAGTGGTAGAGTGCTTGCCTTGCATGCCTGAGGCCCTGGGTTTGATTCCTCAGCACCACATAAGCAGAAAAAGCCAGAAGTGGTGCTGTGGCTCAAGTGGTAAAGCGCTAGCCTTGTGCTGAAGAGCTGAGGGATAGCAACCAGGCCCAGAGTTCAAGCCTCAGGACTGACCAAAAATAAAAATAAAAAATAGAAAAAAAGATAGGCCTTGCAGTCAGCCTTCTTCTGGAGTTCATATCCCAGGTATGGCATCCTGGGGGGACCTGAGGGTAGACACTCTGACCTCTCTGGACATGTTTCCATATCTGGCAGATTAGGAGAACATTCATGCCTACATTTCAGGATGTTTCCAAGTATTTAAAAGTGAAGCCTTTAGCTGGGTACTGGTGGCTCATACCTGTAATCCTAGCTACTGAGGAGGCTGAGATTGGAGGATCACGTTTTAAAGCCAGCCCAGGCAGAAGTCTATAAGACTAATCTCCAATTAACTACCAGAAAATCAGAAATGGAGCTGTGGCTCAAAGTGATAGAGTGCTATCCTTGAGCAAAAGAAGGACAGCACCCAGGTGCTGAGTTCAAGTCTCACAACCAACAAAAATAAAAAGATCTGGGGGAGGGGAGAGGTGCTGGGCACAGTGGCTTATACCTATAATCCCAGCTACTTGTGAGGCAGAGATCTGGGGAGTTGAAGCTTGAGACCAGCCTGGACAAAAATTAGCAAGACCACACTTCAACCAATAAGCTGTGTGTGGTGGTGTACATTTGACAAATGGTCTGAGGCTGGTCCAGACACAAATGTGAGGTCCTATTTGAAAAATACCTAAAGCCAGGTGCCAGAGGCTCATGCCTAATCCTGGCCTAATCCTTGCTACTCAGGTGGCTGAGATCTGTGGATCATGGTTCAAAACCAGCCCAGGCAGGAAAAGTCCATGAGACTCTGATCACCCATTAACTACCCAAAAAGGCTGGAAGTGAAGCTGTAGTTCAAGTGGTAGAGCACTAGTCTTGAACAATAAAGCCTCGGGATAACACCCAGGCCCTGAGTTATGCCCCAAAACGAGTGAAGGAAGGCAGGCAGGCAGGAAGGAAGGAAAACAAAGAAGGAAGAAAGAGCAAAGAAGGCCAGGGGAGTGGCTCAGTTAGAGTACCTGCCTAGCTATCATAAGACTGAATTCAAACCCAGTACTGCTAAAATAGAGGGGGAAGAAGGCTTTAGAACATGAAGTTTTGGGTATGGTGCCTGGCATGTAGTAAGAGCCCAGTCAGTGCAGAGGCCAGCTAGGAGTATGGCTTCTTCTGTGACTAGAGGGTGGGAAGGGGGCTCAGTGCCATGGCCTTTCCAGGACCAGGACAAGCTCCTCATAGAAGGAGGATCCCATTTGCCCCCAGACTTCGCAACCCAGCTCAACCCCAAGCTGAGGGTTCAGGGAGGCCAGAGATGGGCACTAGCCACTCAGAGGAGTCCTGGAGACTGAGGCTTCTCAGAAGGCTGTCCAAAGACCTCATGGTGGACCAGCAGGGGGCGAGCTTCAAACTCAGCACCACTCCTTCACAGGAGGGCATCTGGCCCAGGGCTCAATACATCCCACAAAGGAGACACAGGGACTTTAAGAGGACAAGCAGACTTGGGACCTCCTGTCTCATCTACCTTCCCAGTCTCTAGGATGGCAGACTCAGGGAAACAGCCTGAAAATCTGAAAGCTGCAAGGTTTCCTGGGCCTTTCCAAACCATTTAGCAGCGGATTCCAGACCTACCGCCCTTGACCAGCTCCAAGGAAGGCCTCAACTCTGCCATCCATAAGGACAGCTGACTTGGGGGTGCCCTGGTCCCATGCCCACGGTGAGGGTGAGTCTGAAGGCTTTGTTCTATCCAATGTCATAGACTGTGCCCTGGCCATGGGCACTAAACCTGGAAGAAAGGGCATGAGGTGAGTGGTGGGCCTGACGCTTCATGGCCTCTGAATGGCATTTTCTGTGTCCAGGAGTTTCCATGGGCCCCAGGACAGGGTTGACCTGCTGAGGACTCTGGCCTGGCCAGATGCAAAGCCAGGTGAGGTGTTGCTCCAATATCCCTCCTCCCCTGCCCCACCCACCATACCTCTCCAGGCACAGAGCAGTTTAAAACACAGGGGCCAAACAGCCATGGCTACCACTAGATGGCTCTGGGCCTGTCTTCTGAGAGGCTGGACCAAGTGTCTGGGCCATCTAGCTTCCACAGTATGTGACTACCTGCCTCTCCACCACGGAGCCCCTGTCCCCAGGAGTCAGCCTGTCACCTGCCAACCAGCATACCCAGGTATCCTGGGGACAGACTGGTCTCTGGGTCCTCCCAGGGCCTTGCCAGGAAACAGAACCTATCTCAGAGGTCCACTGGGATCTTAGAGAGTGAAGGACACGGCCCAAACACTTCATCTGCAGAACTCTGATATTCAAGAAATTTTATTTTCTTCTCCAGGACTCTGTCCAGAGTCAGAGAGAAGAGAGCTAGAGAGACGACTTCCAGAGAGGCAGCGCGAGAGCTGCCAGGAAAGGTCCACCTCCTCTGGGCCTTGCCAGGTGTGAGCCCAGGATGTTTAAGACCCCATGGGCCCGGGTGCTCCGCTAGAGGACTGGAGAGAGGGGTAGCTCAGGACAGGGTGCAAAAGCCCCGCTTTGTGAGCATGAGGGTCTCTGGCCTCTACAGAATGGACTCAGAGCACTCAGATGGGAGTGAGAGGAAGGAGTGGGCTGTGGTGGCTGAATGGGGCTGCAGAGAGGAGATAGAAGCCTGAGGCTTCAGTGAGGCAGACATGGAGTCCAACAGCTCTGATGCCGAGGCGGCAGGGGGCACAGAGGAGAGGGAAGGGCTGGCGGCGGCGGCGGCTGCTTCGGGGTAGACTCATCATCCCAGTGGATGATACGCTGGACCTGCGGCTCTGTGATCTTGAACGTTAGTAAATTAACGTTAGGAAGCTGCTGGGTGGGCTCCAGCTCGTTGACGTATAGGCTGTGGTAGATCAGAGGTGAGATCTAGGGGGGTAGAGCAAGGCGGCAGGGTCACCTGCTGGAGCTGAGGGTACTCAGGACCAAGAGAGGCTTGCAGAGAGGAAGGATTCTGAGGTCTTCCCATACATACGAGCCTACTGTGATGATCAATGACCAAGGAAGTCAGGGCCATCTCAGCCCATCCCCCAACACGCTTCTGAGTGCCATAGCAACCCTGAAAGGCAGGCCCTGGCACCAGAACTGTTCCCTTCTTAGAACCAGGCTACAAGCTGAACCCAAAGCAGAGCCCGGTACAGAGGACCTCAGAGGACATACTCCGCCTCTCCCATTGGCACTGCAAAGCTGGGTTGGGAGCCCCCTCCAGGCCAGGGGCAGAGGTACAGCATGGGGAGAAAAGCCCTTCGGAGATGTGACTTTCATTATTCTCCCAGCACATAGAGGGGGGGCCTTGTCTTGCCCTATGGCAGACAAGGAGGGAAAGGCTGGGATGTACCCATGCCTTTTTTCTCTTCCCACAAAGGGCCACCCCTTCCAGGTACTCCACCCCTTCCTGTGTGCCTGGCACCTTCCTGTGTGTCTGCCCTTGAGCACCCACAGTGGTGGGGACATAGGCAGCAAATAGCACTCAAGGGTAGATACAAGCTACTGTGGTATTTTGAAGGCTGCAGACTGGGCCCAGGTCCAAGGAGGACCTCCTCCCATAAGGCCTTGGGCCCTCTGTCTTCAGGGACAAAACTTCAACCAGGACCGTGGCAAACACACCAGCCAAGCTAGCCTCATACAGAACAGAAGACCAGTGACCGCATCACTCCCACTGGAGTGCTAACTGCACAAGACTGGGTCCTCTGGCCTCAACAGCCCTTGGGTCTCAGGGAGCGGCCTCACCTGCTGCTTCATGCAGCCGTAATTCACACTGGTGGTCAGGAATCTACCGGTCCGAGAGTGCTCCTTGGGCTTGTAGAATGCTCCCAAGACTTCACTCAGCTGCAGGGTCATGGGGGAGAGGAAAGGCTGAAACTAGTGTCATGCCTGCACATGCACTTGCAAGCACACACGTGTGCACACACACACATGCACAAACACCCTAGCTCCCCGCCTACTGCACCTGCTTGCCATGAGACTCCCACTTGTTCCAGCTCTCCTCGATGTCTTGCGGGGAGTGCTCTCTAGGCCACGGTGATGTCACAGCCATCTTCTGCAGCTTGGCCCATGCCTCAGCCTCCTTTTCAGGCCTCTGGTTCAGAAGGTCCATCAGTACCGCCTGCTCCCGCCGTTGATATGCCAGGGCCTCATATAGATCCCTTCTACAAGAGGCTTTCCTTCACAAAACACTCTTCCTACTAAACAAGGTGGGGGTCTCCCAGGAACCCTGAGAGGAGTATCCCTCTCCTGGGCCTGGCCCTGCCCTTTCCTGTGTCTCCATTGCTCTGCTAGAAACTATCAGTGTGCAAGGCTTACTAAGGCTAACACGCCCAGATGCAGCCCTGCAAGCTCTGCTGCTCTTCCCACTCCCTCTACTGGCCTGCAAGGAGCCTGGTACTCCTTTGTCTTTCCAGGGACCTCCCCAATGGACTATCTAAACATCCCCCAACCTCAGAATCTCAGGCTCTTGGGTCACAACAGCCACTGTGAATGAGCTGCAGGTCCCCAGGCACTGGCTTTCTGAAAGCTAACCAGTTTGGCACTGCCCAACCCAGGGAGGGGCATCCTGGGAGCTGCCAAGGTTCCCAGAGGCCTTGCTGGGGCCAGAGGAGCCCAGTGGGCTGGGACTCACTGCAGATCCGGCTGGGGGGCCTTAGAAACGCTGTCTATGATGTCTTCCTCCTCTGAGTTTTCAGCTTGTTTGTAACCACTGTCCATCGTGGCATCCTGTAGTCTCTTCCAAACATTCAGGCCAAATGTCCCTGTAATTCCATCAATCCTTGCTCAGAAGCTTCTCAACCCACTGCCCTTCTCCTCTACCCCAACAGTCAGCCAGAGAGTGGTTGACCCCCTCCCCCCAGGCATTCACCCAACTGTCAGTATCCACCATGGGAAGGAAATGTGCTGGGCACTCAACAAACGCTTGGAGGAACCCACCACTAGCAGCCCTCTCATATACCTGGAGCTCCAGCCTGAAGTACCCTGCCCCACGTGTGGTTAAGGGGAAGAAAACCAAAAAAATAAAAAAAAATTAGAAATTAAAAAAGAGGGGAAGAAAACCATGGTAATGGTATAAAATGGAAAGCATGGTATAAAATGGGGGGGGGGGAAGGCGGGGCACTGGTGGTTCACCCATGTAATCCTGTAATCAGGAGATTCAGATCTGAGGATCATGGTTCAAAGCCTGACCCAGCAGGAAAGGCTGTGAGACTCTTATCTCCAATAAACCACCAGAAAACCAGAAGTGGCGCTGTGGCTCAAGTGGTAGAGTGCTTGCCTTGCACTGAAGAGCTGAGGGACAGCGCCCAGCCCAGTGTTCAAGGCCCACAACCCACAAAAAAAAAAAAAAAAGACCAGGGCCCACGCACGTCAGATGGGGCAGACGTTGAGATGAGCTGTAGTAAGGGTAAAAAAGGGTAAAAAAAAAAAAATGGGAGTCCTATTTCTGGGCTGGGCGCTGTCCCTCAGCTCTTCAGTGCAAGGCAAGGCAAGCACTCTACCACTTTAGCCACAGTGCCACTTCTGGTTTTCTGGAAGGCTTTTCAAGAAGCAGCAGGCCTGGGAGCTGCTTTCTTCTTGGGGAATTCCTGGACTTCAGCTTGGTTCAGATAGGAAGGAACTACTAGAAAGAATGAAAAAAAAGCAGCAGAGTACCTGCCAGCCATGCAGCCAGCATGGCACACTGAGTTTCACAGGGTCCTCAATTCACTACCAGAAGCACAAAGTAAAATGGCAGTGGCCAGGGGCTGAGAAATAAGAGTTGCTGCTCATGGGTAAGATTTCAGTCACAAGAGTTGAAAAAGATCTAGAGATCCCCTATTTAAGAGTGTATAGTTGTTGAGTGCTGGTGGCTCATACCTGTAATCCTATCTATTCAGGAGGCTGAGATATGAGGATTGCATCTCAAAGCAAGTCCAGGCAGGAAAGTCCATGAGACTCTAATCTCCAATTAACCACCATAAGTGAGTTGTGGCTCAAAGTGGTAGAGTGTTAACCTTGAGTGAAAAAGCTCAGGGACAGCACCCAGGCCCTGAATTCTAGCCCCATAACTAACCAGAGAGAAAGAGAGAGAGGAAGAAGAAGAAGAAGGAGAAGAAGAAGGAGGAGAAGAAGAACAAGAAGAACAACAAGAAGAAGAACAAGAAGAAGAAGAGGAGGAGGAGGAGGAGGAGAAGGAGGAAGAGAAGGAGGAGGAGGAGGTGGTGGTGGTAGTAAAGAAGAAGAAAGAGGGCTGGGAAGGTGGCTCAGGGGTAGAGCGCTTGCCTTGCATGCATGAGGCCCTGGATTCGATTCCTCAGCACCACATAAGCAAAAAGAGAAAAGCCGGAAGTGGCACTGTGGCTCAAGTGGTAGAGCACTAGCCTTGAGCTAAAGAGCTGAGGGACAGTGCTCAGGCCCAGAGTTCAGGCCCCATGACCAGACACCCCCCCACAAAATAAAAAAGAAGAAGAAGAAAGAGGAAGAGGAGGAGAAAAAGAAGAAATAGAGAAAGAACAGACCTCATCAAATATAGATTTTCAAAAATATGCAAAGGTAGACATGTTGGTGGGTAGAGGAAGGGTGGATGGGCAGTTGATAATAAATGGACACAGGGCTGAATGGACAATTGGACAGACTTACATCCAGCAATTTAAGCAAAGGCACTTTAAAGTCATTCCTATGGGAAATAAGGTTCCTGTCAGCTTGTGATCTGTTGCGGACAGGAGCAAGAAAGGCATGGGGGACAGGTAGACTTCACTGGACCCATACCGACGGCATCACCAGAGAGTTTCCAAGCCTTGACGTTGCAGTCCTGGCCAGCACTGATCACCAGCTGGAAGCTGTCTACATACATGACATCTGTCACGTTGTCCGAATGGCCCTTCCATGTAATCAGGAGCTTAGGGGGAACCAGGGAAATGCTCTGGCCCTCCACAACCTACAGGGGACAGGACAGGAAAACTTACACCAAGACCATCACACAGATGCACTGGTAGGCACCCAGAGAAAGGGTTCTGGGACATGGATGGGTTTTCTAGTTCTAGGCACATTCCACATTAACTTGATGCTGACCTTTGAGAGGTCCCTTACTGGACTCTTTGGTAAAACTACTAAAAAAGCATCTATAGGCTGGGGGGTGGGGGGTGGCTCAAGGGGAGAACTTGCCTGGCAAGAACAAGGCCCTAGGTACATGCCTCAGTACCACAAACAATAACAAAATTTGCATGTTACTTATCAGTGCCTCCATTCAATTGATAGAGTTGATCCTGACCTTACAGGATAAGGAGTCTCTGTGTCTTACAGGGTTGAGAAATGAAAGTGAGAGGATCAGAAATCAGTCTAAGGCCACAGAGCCAGAGATTGATGGGTCTCTGAGTAGAGCTGAGGTCTCCTCAAGTTTTCACTGGGCATTCAGAGAATAAGCTGAGTGAAGGGGGTCATATTTCACATTGCACTGTGAGCAAATAAGTTTATTTAATTGACAGATGAGTAAAAATGACCAGGACAATTTTGAAATAAAGCAAGATTAAGAAAGGGACACTTCTACAATAGTTAAGTAAGTCAGAATAATAATAATAATAAGTCATAATAATAATAATCTGCTCACATTGTTCTGTAAGCAGAACAATGAAAAACAATGGACAACTCAGAAACCAACCCAAATGTTCATAAAGCACAATTCATAGCACTGGGATAACTGACAAGCTGTTAGGAGAAAATACAACCATTATCTTGAATTCTGCAGGGGTGGTACCTGGCCTTTGAAATCATTTGTTTCCTGATTGCTTACTAGACACACACATAGCTTCTTGCTGGCTGCCCTTAACCCATCTGTCTCTATCAAACACAGTGAGTTACATTAGACTGGTTTTCTGAGGAGCTAATGAAAAGGTGCTCGGTTTTATTAAGCATCTGGCAAGCAGCAAGTGGTCCTGGACCATATAAACATTTCTATTAATTATTTTGTGTATGCCAGTATTTGGGATTTGAATTCGGGTCCTGGGTGCTGTCCCTGAGCTTTTTTGCTCAAGGCTGGCTCTACTTCTGGATTTTTTAATGTACTTTATTGTTATTATAGAGGTGATATACAGAGGGTTTACATTTACATGCCTCATGTAATAAGTACATTTCCTTTCATACAGTGTCATCTGTTCCCTCATTCTCTCTCATTCCCTCCTCCCATCTCTACCCACCAGTTGTATAGTTCACTTTCATCAATGTCCCGTGCACTCTAGAGCTGCACTTTTTCACCTTTTTCCTTGGATTCTGTGCCCCCCACTCTCCCACAGACATGCGCATGAATATACTGTATATAAGGTAAAGAATACAGAATCATCAGAAAAACAGGGGCTGGGAAGGTGGCTCAGTGGTAGAGCGCTTGCCTTGCATGCCTGAGGCCCTGGGTTCGATTCCTCAGCACCACATAAGCAGAAAAAAAAAGCTGGAAGTGGCGCTGTGGTTCAAGTGGCAGAGCGCTAGCCTTGAGCTGAAGAGCTGAGGGACAGCGCCCAGGCCCAGAGTTCAGGCCCCACGACCAGACCCCCCCCAAAAAAAAAATTGAAACAAGTCTTTTGTTTCCATATCTTTGAAGTGTGTTTCAGTATGTATATTATTTTATATAAATATGAAGAGGTGCTTAGGCATTATACTTTTGTGATTCTCTCCTAAGACTACCCTCTTTTGGTCTTACAACTTATAGTTTTTTACTGGCTAACTGGAGATAAGAGTCTCCTGGACTGGCTTCAAACTGGGATCTTCAGATCTCAGCTTCCTGAGTAGGTGGGATTACAGGCACCAGCCACCAGTGCCCAGCTCCATTACTCTTGTTTAAAAGACTCATGACTCTAGAGTTCTCATAGAAAAGATCAAAGCACATGGAAAGGGAGTATGGCGTGTGTGTGTGTGTGTGTGTGTGTGTGTGTGTGTGTGTGTTGCTGACTAATGATGACTTCAGGGTTGTTTTTTGTTTTTGTTTTGTCTGTTGTGGGGCTTAAACTCTATGCCTGGGGGCTGTCCCTCAGCTCTTCAGCTCAAGGCTAGCACTCTACCACTTGAGCCACAGCGCTACTTCTGGCTTTTTCCTTTTTGCTTATGTGGTACTGAGGAATCGAACCCAGGCCTCATGCATGAAGGCAAGCACATTACCACTGAGCCACCTCCCAGCCCCTAATTTCTGGGGGGCTTTTTGTTGTTGTTGTCATTGCCAGTCCTGGGGCTTGAATTCAGGGCCTGGGTGCTGTCCCTGAGCTTCTTTTGCTCAAGGCTAGTGCTCTACCACTTGAGCCACAGTACCACGTCCAGCTTTTTCTGTGTATGTAATAGTGAAGAATTGAACCCAAGGCTTCATGCATGCAAGCACTCTACCACTAAGCCACATTCCCAACCCTAATGATGACTTCTGATTGACAGATTTTTTCCAAATAAGCCGAAAAAGAACATAAAGAGAAAGCAAGAAAGAGTCATAATCACAGTGAAGGCATAGTTCCAGCTCCTTGGTAGGACCCAAAGCACTTTTCTGAGCGGCTCCAAAACAACACTCCTACCTCCTTCTCCTTGAGGGGAACGTAGTACGGGGTGCTGATCTGGGGGCTAAGCATTAAGTCCGGGAACTTGTTCTGTATTTCACTGGAGTATTTGACACTGTGTGGAGTTGAGGGATGCCCAACAAATATGCAGTAATCCTTGATATCCCAGATCTAGGCATAAAGTGGGGGGAGGGGGGTTAGTGGCCTAGCACCCTTTGGCCTGGCCTCAGCTCACGCTGTGCCCTTCCCCATCCCGCCCCCTGGACTCTTGCTCTTCATGTGCGGAACAGTCCTTACTCCTACCTCTGAGCAAACAGAACCTGGGATCTGAGAGTCTTCTAAACCTGACCCCTTGGTTAGCCGAGTAGATGGCAGGCACTTCCACCTCATGTCTCAGAAGGCGCGCAAACTCAGCCCCTGAGACAGCTGAGCCCAGACAAAACATGGCTAGGGGGCAAGGGAGCAGTCAGCAGAAGCCTACAGGACTCCCCAGAGGAAGGAGGATTTCTTGGAGGAACTGTGTTCACTTCACTTGACTTGCCAGAGCAGGAGAGGCCTCCTCAGTTACCAACTACTCCCCACCCTTTCACAAAACAGCCAGAGCCCGGAAGGAGGGGGTCCAGCAGGGCCACAGAGGGCAAAGAGGTTGCCGGAAGCTTGGCTGGCCCATCTCTCCAGCCAGCTGCCCATTCCTCCTCACCCGAATCTTTCCTTTACTGTCCCCTGTGATGAGGATGCAGTCATCCTCGTCAGTGGCCATGGTGCTCACAGTGACGCTCCCACTATTATCTGAGTCCACGGGGAACTTCCCCATCAGGCCTCCACTCCCATGGATGGACCAGGCATAGATGTAGCCATTGACGCAGCTGCTCAGCAGGGCAGCTGTGTGAGGCAGGCGAGACCTGGTCTGCAGGAAGATTATCTGTGGGAAGAGATGGGGCCGGATTAGCAGGGCTTGAGCCACATCCCAAGCCTTCTTGTGTTTTGAGACAGGGTCTCAGTAAGTAGCCCAGGCTGGTCTACAATGCATAGCCTTGGGCTAGTCTTGACCTATTGACCTTCCTGCTTCAGCCTTTTGAGTGCTAGAATTATAAGCATGCACCACCATACCCAACTTTGAAAATGTTTCTTTTTTTGTGTGTGTGTGAAAATACCGTACAGAGGGGTTACAATTACATGGGCAAGATAATGAGTACATTTTTTATCAAGCATTGTTGCCTCCTCCTTTGTTTCCCCTTCCCATCCCTTCCCATCTCCAACCCCCCTACCCTCCCCCCGCCACCCCCACTCCCTACCCCACCCCGGGCCAAAGTTGTAAAGTTCGTTTTTCAACATAACAACTTGTATATCTCATTGTTGCAATGGGTCAACCTGTATCCCTATTTAAACGATTTGTTTTTTCCCTTCCCATCCACAAATTATTATGGGGAAAAATAATAGTATATAATTCCTGAGGCTGTTTTAACTGATAAAATAAAAACAGTATGTGTAAATAATTAAATTCACTGCCTAAGAGATACTAAGAGCTCAGTGAATATTAACTGCTGCTTATATTATCATTAGACTGAAATGGGTTGGGGGACCCATAATACTTAAGTGTGTGTGTGTGTGAGAGAGAGAGAGACAGAGACAGAGAGAGACAGAGACAGAGACAGAGAGAGACAGAGACAGAGAGACAGAGAAACTGGCAGAGAGAGAAAGAGAGATAACACACGTGCAGACATGCCAATACTAGGGCTAGAATTCAGGGCTTCATGTTCTTGTTTGTCTTTTTACTTAAAACTGGTGCTCTACCACCTGAGCCATACCTCCACCTCTGAATTTTTGCTGTTTAGTTGGAGATAAAAGTCACATGGACTTTTCTGCCTGAGCTGGCTTTTGAACCATGATCCTCAGATATCAGCTCCCAAGTAGCTAGAATTACAGACATGAGCCACCAATGTCCAGCCTCTACCTAACTTTTTAAAAAGCTGGGGTTCCAATAAACTTAGTTTAACCGGAGCTGTGAAGGTGGCTCAGTGGTACAGTGCTTGCTTTGCATGCATGAGGCCCCAGGTTCGATTCCTTAGCACCACATAAGCAGAAAAAGCCATAAGTGGCACTGTGGCTCAAGTGATAGAGCACTATCCTTGACAAAAGAAGCTCAGGGACAGTGCCCAGCCCCTGAGTTCAAGCACCAGGACTGGCAAAAAAAAAAAAAATTGAGTTTGACCAGTATTAAAAAAAAAAAAATCAGGCTGGGGGAGGGAGAGCCAGATGCAGAAGCTCCTGCCTGTAATTCCAGCTATTCAAGAGCCAGAGACTGGGAAAATTGTAGTTTAAGACCAGCTTGGACAACAGGTTCATGAGACTCTCATCTCAACCAATAAAAGCTAGATATAGTTGGGTATCAGGGCTCATGCCTGTAATCCTAACTATTCAAGTGGCTAAGATCTGAGGATCACAGTGCAAAGCCAGCCCAGGCAGGAAAGTCCATGAGATTCCTAATCTCCAATTAACCACCAGAAAACTAGAAGAGGCGCTGTGACTCAGAGTGGTAGAGCACTAGCCTTGATCAAAAGAACTCAGGGACATTGCCCAGGTCTCAAACTCAAGCCCCATAAGTGACCCCCCACCAAAAAAAATGTCAGAGCATTCAGAAAATGGAAGGCAGAATGAGCCTCTCACAGTGCTCCACTAGAACAGCTCCTAGAAGTGTCTCTTGTCCCTTATGAAGTCCCTAACCTCTGGAACTGGGTGCTGTGGCAGGCCTGCCCCCCTCTAACACAATTAGGATATAGAATAGAGATTTCCTGGAGAAGGAAGAAGGTCACAGAGAGGCAGGGCCAGAGTCAGAGAGAGGGGAAAGGCATGGGGGTGTGGGGTTGAGATTTGAGAACAGATGAACAACCCTGCTTCACACTCAGGTAGATGGAGGTCATCTAACAGCTGATTCTCCAACATTCCCACCACCCCCACTCCCACTCCCCCCTACCAAACCCCCTCCCAGCCACAATCCCACCTGTCTGTGTACCCATGGCCTGGTCCTGAGGAACTCTCCTGAGACACAACAGCCCTGACAGCACGATGTTGCAGGGCTCCATCCTCTCTATAGCCTTCCCTGGCACTGGGGGCGTTCAGCCAGGCATTCCAGCACTGCTTTTTCCCAGCCCCAGATGAGCACCACCTACCTTCTCCACTGATGTGCTGGACTGCATCATCAACTTTGTCTTGAATTCCCCTTTTTTCCTTTCAGTCTCTGTGTAAGGTACGTATCTGCTATGGGACTTCTTTGTCAGCCGGATTCTGGAGGTACTCGGAGGTATCTGGAAAGGTTACAGCATAACTCTGATCCCAAAGACATGGCATGGAAGAGGAACGTGCACTGTGGCACCTTGGCCTTTTTTTTTTTGGTCTGGTCATGAGGCCTGAACTCTGGGCCTGGGCGCTGTCCCTCAGCTCTTCAGCTCAAGGCAAGCACTCTACCACTGAGCCACCTTCCCAGCCCCACCTTGGCTCCCTCCTGAGCCAGGAGCAGGGTCGGGTTTCAAGATTGAGAATTGGTGTCTTTATCTGCCCACAGGTGAGCGGATGGACCGGATGGGCTGGTACAGGTGAATCAGACAAGAAAACAAGCACACAGGACTCTCACCTGGAGCACAGAGCCGTGCTCATCTCGCCTCATGGCCGGGGGAGCCGACGTCAGGCTCTGCCTCAAGATGGCATTGCTCAGCGTCTTGAAGTTGGCTTCAGAGGCCTGCAAGAAGGGTCTATACGCCCACTTCTGTTCCTTCAAGTCTCCGTTGGACTCCAAGCCCTCAATCAGAGGTTCCTGCACCTGTGCAGGGGGAGAGCAGCCCCAGTCCTTTTTCTGTCCCTAGCCAAATCTCCCCATCTGGAAAACGGACTGTGGTTTCCAAATGTTTTCCCTCCCTCTCTCCCTTCCTCCCTCCCTCCCTCCTCCCTTCATCCTTCCTCCCCACCCCTCTCCCTATCAGTTATAGAGGCTTGAACTCAGGGCCTGGGCTCTGACCCTTAGTTTTTTCACTCAAGTCTAGCACTCTATCATTTTGAGCCGCAGTGCCATTTCCAGCTTTCTGGAGATAATGGCAATCCTCAGATCTCAGCCTCCTGAGTCATTAGGATTCAGGTATGAGCACCAGCACCCAGCTTCCAGATGTTTTCATGGTTGTTTGTAATCTTAGAAAAGTCCAAAGCATAAAACAGATAAAAAGCTGAGCAGTCCTAGGGGAAGGACCTCCTACCAGAGCCCTCTCAGCACTGACACACTTGGAAATCCAGTGTCTGAAGTGTCCCTAAGATCCTTTCCAGTTTTAAATGGCTATGACATGCTAATTCAGAGACTGGACAGAGTCCCTAAGTCCCTACTTATACAACTGGTGAATATGGGCAGTAATGGATGGATTAACAGCAATGAGTAAGAAAGTATGTGTGAGCCAGGTGGTTCATGCCTGTAATCTTAGCTACTCAAGAAGCTAAGATCTGAGCATGGCAGTTCAAAGTCCATGAGACTCTTTTTTTCAATTAACCACCCAAAACAAAAACATAAAGAAAGTGGAGGTGGGGCTGGGAAGGTGGCTCAGTGGTAGAGCGCTTGCCTTGCATGCATGAGGCCCTGGGTTCGATTCCTCAGCACCACATAAGCAAAAAGAAAAAAGCCAGAAGTGGCGCTGTGGCTCAAGTGGTAGAGCGTTAGCCTTGAGCTGAAGAGCTGAGGGACAGCGCCCAGGCCCAGAGTTCAGGCCCCACGACCGGACCCAAAAACAAAAACAAAAAAAGAGTCCCAGAGAGTTCCCTTGCCCTTCTCACAGGTAAGTTTAAAGCAAGAGGACAGCTTTCTATGAAGGGGGTGGGGACAGGGGTCACCGGTCACTAAAACTGATGACTCCTTGGTCATGGACTTCCCAACCTCCGGAACTGTGAGACATAAATCCTGCTGTATATAAGCTACACAGTCTATGATAGTTTGTTATAGCTGAGACAGACTGAGACATTTCCTCCTGGAGGCCCCATCATTCTTGGTTATGGTCATCCCCATCACCTAGCAAAAAGCCTAGAATAAAATCAGTGAATGGATAGATGAGCAGCTGAAGCAATGGCCATTCCCACCACCCATGTCCAATGTGACCTTCCAAGTATGGGAGAGCTCTGAGTGGAGGAATACAGAAAATAAAGTGAGGGCACCCAGTGGCTGTATCCCTCCCCCTGCACACCTGCTACTCACGTGAAACTGGTGATTCTCTTATTCCACCCTGACACGTAGAATCCTTTGCTCATATGGACAATTCCAGTAATCTGTTGAAGATGAACAAAAGAGAACTTTAAAGCTTCTTGGAGAACATGCCTTTCCTAAATGTACTAAGAAGACAAAACTCAATGATGTGAGAATTTCCTAGAGTTAATGCCACCATCAATTTTTTAGAGAGTTCTTGGATCCCATTATGTAACCTAAAGGACCTAGAACATAAAATTCAAGGAACCTAGAGGAAATCATAGAATATGTTAGCTACCTATGCCCACTTTTATAGAGATGACTAGGAAACAAATAAGTGATCTGGCTACAGTCTAATAACCAGTGAATGAGCCAGGTCTCAAACCCTGGCTTCTGGGCTAAGTACACATACACACACACACACATGCACACACACACACACACACACACACACACACACGCACACACACACACACGCCTCTCCTCCTGGCTCCCCATTGAAGAATTACATCATAGGGGCTAGGAGGAGGAGGCTCAAGTACCAATGTGGCTTTGCTCTAAGCCATCCATAAATGGTCTCTGCAACCCTGTCAAATATTTCTAGATGCAAGGAGGGGTGGGGAGGACAGGAGCCGCTGAGTCATATGTGGTCCAAGGTTCAAAGACATTGGTGATGTGCCAATAGTTTAAAGATCACAAACACCTGGCATTTGTGGGAGCTTCACTAAAGGTGCATACTCTTGCCTTGCTCCCTGTGTGCAGGAGGACACAAGGCTCCCGCAGGTTTGAAGCCAAGCCAGACTGACCTCCATTTGGTCTGGGTTGGGAAAGGTTAGCAGGCACTCGCCAGTGCTGTGGTTCCACATCATCATGGTGCCATCTCGAAGACCCGTGAGCAGACATCGCCCTGACTCGTCCAGGGCCATGGCCGTCAGCTCCATGGGCTGAGTACTGGTCACAGAGAACTCCATCTTCTTCTTGCCCGTCTTGACATCCCACACGCTCACTTCACCGTGCAGGCAGCCGCTCACCACCTGTGGGGGAACACAGGGCTCCAGCAGGAGCTGCTGGAGAGAAGGTGCCCCTTGCCACTGATGAGAACTGACCCTTCCCCTCCACACTCTGAGAAAAGCATTCTGGGGCTCCCTGCTTCTGCAGAAGGCCTGATGATGGATCTTCCCTGGCTTTGTGTCCTGAGAATCAGTCTATTTGCTAAAGTCATTTTGTTCACTCAGAAATGGTACTTGCTTATCAGAATTTAGTCAGAGAAAGGAATCCCAAATTTGGAGAAGATGTTTGCTGAAGTGTCATTACACAAGCCCCTCCTAGGGAGCCACTGAGAACAATGGGCAGTCCTGCCACTCCCTGGAACATTCTGCTGCCATCACACCTGGTACAGTGTCATAGCAGGTGAGGCTGCTTAGGCTACCTCCTGAGAAAAACTTCCTGACAGCACAGCAGACCCCTAAGGCAGTGATAGTGGTAAGAGAGTGGTGAGAGCGCCAGGGAGCTGAGCTGAGCTCTGGTCTGGTGCAGCCACCCTGTCCATAGCCAAGACCAGACCTGAGGCTCAGTGGGCAGAGGTCCCACAATTCCTTTCTGCACCCACTCCTCAGAAATAATTCCATGTGCCCAGTGGCCCGGTCTGCCTAGAATCCTCTCCTCAGACCCAGGGCACTGCCTGCTGCCCTAATCTCCCTCCCTCTCACAGTAAACACAGCCAAACTGTGGCTTCCCTGGAAAGTAGGCTGTGGGCCAGCTCCCATGTAGGGGGTCTTGAGAAGCCCTCCATAACTAATATTCTATCTCACTCCATGTCAAGAGGCTGCCTGTGCAGAGGTGATCTAAGACAGTCCAGGACACAAAGTCTCTGCTGGTTGGGGGTGGATCCGCTCTTGTGCTAACCAGTCTGCAAGACTACTTGCTATCTGCACCCCATGGTCCTTGGTACCACCACAAGGCTCCCAGGATTCCCAGCCTGGCATGGGAGCAGACCAGGCACCTGGGGAGGTCTCCTACCTTCATCACTGAACACTCCTGCTAGCTTCTGAGACCAGCCCTGGCTGCTCACCTGCTTCACGATCTTGCTGTAGAGGACAGCACACAGGGCAGTGCTGTGTGTTGTCTTCGGCCCTGCTTTTATTGGCTCCTGGGTCTCTAAGTACCCTTTAAGGATCCCAATCTGCAGGGAGAAGGGTGGATAGCTTGGAAGGGCCCTGCCTTCGGTGACAACTCCCCCTACCTCCCACTCTGACTGAGCAACCCCAGGGGGACACCTGACCTCACAGCCACTAGGCCTCATTTCCCCAAGACTCCTGCTGCTCCCACCCCACTCCATAGCCCCAACTCACAGTTAGGACTCCCAAGCCCTAAAGGCCCTGTCACAGCTGCTAAGGAACTAAGACTCAGAGGTTTCCTCCAGGAGGCCTCCATGACTCTGCCCTGGGCTAGGCTAAAGATGCCTGTGTTTGAAGCCCTGAGCATTTGATGCTTTCATAGTGCATGGCACTCTTTTCTTCCTTCCTTCCTTCTTTCCTTCCTCCCTTCCTAGCTTCCTTCATTCCTCTCTTCCTTCCTTCCTCCTTTCCTTTTTTTATGGTGCTGGGATTTGAATTCAGGGTTTAGGATTAGCTAGGCAAGAGGTCTCAAATTCATACCCTACCTCCACCTGCCTCCACCTCCTAAGTAATTGAGATTACAGGAGTATACCACCATACCTGGTGTACACAAAACATTTTCTACATCAATGTAACTGTGCTTCAGAAATAGATTCTATAGGCTGTGCGCTTGATGGTAGAGTGCCTACCTAGCAAGCATGAGGCTCTGAATTTAAACACCAGTAACACACACACAAACACACACACTTCTGCCTAGTAAGTCTTAGTTCCCAGCAAAAAGAAGGGAGGGGTTTGATAATGTTAGTTGATCAAAATCAACCTCAAAGAGTCTGTTTCATTTTAAAAGTACCAGTCTACCACACAGCAAAGAAATGGCAAGACACATTACCACCTCCTTCTCAGCTAGCCTAGGGCACAGGAAAATGGTGTGTCACCTGACAGTGGCCTGGTCAACAAAGGGCACAAAGTCCCAGTAACAACAAATGCTACCTTTTTTCCTCCCTAGACAGAACCTCCAGGATGGCCAGAAGCCCCTAGGCTTCCATCTAGCCACAGGCCCATCACCACTCCAGCCAGTCTGTCCCTGGGGCTTGGCCCAGACATAGCTGGCCTATGTCAGGACAGAAGGCATGAGCAGTCTTCCTGACAGTTTGTTCTGGGGGCCTCTCATTCAGAGAGATGTTCAGGTTGGCTCACATCTCCCTGAAGTTCGTGTTTAGAAGAAAAGACAATCACATTAATAATGACAGGGCTAGAGGAGTGTAGAAGAAAGGCACCTGACTGGCAGAGCGTTTCCCAGAAAAGTGCTAGGGATGCATGGGTGGGCCAGAGCAGAGGTGGCTAGAGCAGGTGGGGACCCAGAACCGACCCACTGGGGAGGCCTGGGAGCCAGAGCCTCTCAGCCAGCCAGTTGAGCATCTTTGGCCAGCTGAGGAGGGACAGGACAGGACAGGACAGGACAGTTGCCTGCCCACTTGCCCCTCGCTCCCAGGACAACACTCACAGAGTAAGTGCTACAGACTAAGGTGTTGTCTTTGTGTAAGTAGGCACTGGTGATGGCACAGTTTCCCAGGGCAAACGTCTTCCCACCGAAGGACTGGAGGCATTCGTAGTCCTGTAGGTCCCACACACGGATGTTCTGGGGGTGGGAACAAGCAAGAGGCAGAGAGTGAGTCCTCATGGTACAGCTGAGGCCTGAGGCCCTGTGGATAGTCCTGCAGACAGGGCTAGGGGCACTCTCCCCACTCCTGCCTGAGTTAGACATGTGAGGCCATCACAGCCCACAGAGAACCCAGGCTAATGCCCAGGAAACATGGGCACGTGGTACATGAAAGGCAGAGTACATGTAGCAGCTCTATCCCAGAGCTTTCCCTCAAGCCTCCCCCTTCCTGAGCTGCAGACTTTAGAGGCAGAGGAGATAGCAAGCAGCTACATTTTGCCCTAGACCCTCACTTGCTCCTGGCTTCAGCCTCACTGGAAAAGTCAGCCTAGAACAGTCAGAGACTAGTTACCAATAGAGCTGACAAAATGGCCTGCCTATCTCCAGAGTAGTCATTTTGTATTCAGCCTGGATCAAGGAATTTGCGCTGGAAAGGCCACACAGCCTGGCTCCATTTACTATATGATATGAGAACTTCTGCAAACCAGTCTCTGTTTGTCCAAAACCCCTAGCTTTAGACCCTCCATCAGAGGCAAAGCCACCAGGCTGGAGGCTATTAGAATTCTAGGCAGCTGCAGCTGGAGGAGGACATATCTGAACATGGTCCAAGGACCCCAACGGTACTGACAATCCTCCATCCCCTGAGCCCAGGAAAGCACAGACTTGTTCACTCTAGTGAAGGCACCTGGTGCTGTTGGCCAGGACACCCTGCACAGTAAGCAGATGGACAGCATCCTGAATCCACAGTTGCACATGGGCAGAGTGAGGAGCTGAGGCACCGAGGAAGGCCCAATCAAACTGGGAGAGCCGAAAGGTATGAATTCAAGTGGGGCAAGGGAAGACAAGGGCAGGGCACACACAGCTCATGTTCTACCCTGTGCCAGTAATTATATGGCTCTCTTACTTTCTCTTCTCATACAAGGTATTCAATAGCCCAGTCTAGGGATCAGAAGACTAAGGCTCAGAAAAAAGTAAGGGGCTTGGAATATGCCCAAAAGAAAGAATCCAGGCAGTTCCCCAAGGAAAGCCAACTCTGGCAGACTGGAGATGAGCTCTAGCCTCTCCTAGAGGCTGGCAGAGACCCATGGCCATCAGAATTATGACTCCACCTGGGAAGCTGCCCTGTGGTCCTCTGTGCCCAGGTCTGAGACCACAGACAGGAAGGCTGCCTAGGCCTCAGGTCCTCCCAATATTGGTCCCCCACTGGCTGAGCTAGATTCCTGCCCCCATTTTCTAAGGATGAGGTAGGGATGTGTTCTCCATAGGCCAGCACCTTGTCCCTGGAGATGCTGATGAAGATGCTATTCTCACTCTTCATGATGATGTGAGTCACTGATGTCTGATGCCCCTTCATCAGCCACACAGGCTTTTTGGAGATCAAGGGGTTCCACAGGCGGATATGGGGGTCATAGCCACCAGTCACTAGGGCCAAGAAATGGGTATCAGCCACCTGGGGCCCACAGTCAGGACTGCCAGATGGGAGAGGGTCTAGAGTCCAGCAGCACCTCTCCTCCCTCTCTTCTCCACCCCTATCTCATACAGAGCCTGTATCACACACCATCCCCTGGTTCCCATGAATGAGGCAAGAGTGGCAGGAGGCAGCAGCCAGTGAGAAGCCAGCTACTACAGGATACCTTGGCTCCAGGAGTCCCTAGGCCCCCAGCAGCCCTGAATCCCGCTCTGTTGGACCAGCTGCTTCTGGGGTCCATGAAGGTAACTTACCTAGGAAGTTCTTGTCTGGGCAGTAATCAAAGCAAAGAATTCCTTTTCTTAAATTCAGCACTGACAACCTATAATGTCAAAGGGCGAAGGGCTGCAGAGCAAGGAGCAGCAGCCAGGGACTGAATCGAGGCCCGGGGTGGGGAGGAGCTAGAGACAAGGTCTAGCAAAAGTCTCCACCCAGGGAGAACTCGGACAGGAAAGGAGTGTGTGTGTGTGTGTGTGTGTGTGTGTGTCTGTGTCTGTGTGTGTGTGTGTGTGTGTGTGTGTGTGTGCGCGCGCGCGCGCCTTGTGGCCAACTCTAGGCCCCTATCATGTACAGCCTACTGCAGCGGCCTCCTGTCAAACACCACTATCCCTCTACTGAAAACCATCTTAGTACTAGACTACATCTGATTACAAATAAAATTATATAAAGGTATTCTAAGGCACTTGGGAAAATATTCATTTGGACTAAGGTACTTAGTGACAATAATTTTTAAGATGTGCTATCTTTTTACATTGTTCTATGTTTTTGAAATGTTTCATAATAGAAATGTTAAGGTCTGGGTACAGTGGTCCATGCCTGCAATCACAGTTATTTGGGATGGGAAGATCAGGAAGATTATGGCTTGAGGTCAGCCCAGGCAAAATTAGTGAGACCTCATGTCATTCAATAAGTCTAGTACAGAGGTTTTTGCCTGTCAGCCCAGCTATACAGGAGGCACAGATAGGTAGAAGGATTGAGGCTCAAAGCTATCTAAAAATAACTAAAGAAGGCTGGGAGCATGGCTTAACTGGTAGAGCACTTGCCTAGCAAGTAAACAGACCCTTAATTTAAAACTCTCACTGGGTGCTGGTGGTTCACGCCTGCAATCCTAGCTACTTAGGAGACTGAGATTTGAATGAACCCTGTCAGTTTCTAGTTCCTATAACCGTCCAGGTAGGTCAGAAAGGCGCCCAGTTCCCAGATACCATCTACCACTGTTAGCCATATTTCTTTCATCCATCACAGGATTCAGCACTTCACTGAGCTCCACTTAACGAAAGTGGAGAAGGTGTTTGAGGAGAATGTCGGCTCAAATGGAGGTAAGGCTGCACTGCAGGCCTGGCCTCTGTGAACTCTGCTCATGACCAGTATCTGGTGTGTGGAGGATTCATACTATACCAGCGTTTTGGCTCATTTAAAACTTACAATTTCCAGGTGCTGGTGGCTCATACCTATCATCATAGCATCTCAGAAGGTTGAGATCTAAGGATTGCAGTTCAAAGCCAGCTGGATCAGGAAAGTCTGTGAGACTCTTATCTCCAATTAACTACCAGAAAACCGGAAGTGGCGCTGTGGCTCAAGTGGTAGAGCAGTTGCCTTGAGCTGAAGAGCTCAGGGACAGCGCCCAGGCCCAGAGTCCAAGCCCCACAATTAAAGGGAGTAGAGGGGGGAAAGCCAGCCAAGGCAGGAAAGTCTGTGAGACTTTCATCTCCAATTAACCACCAGAAAAGCGGAAGTAGAGCGGTGGCTCAAAATAGTAAAACTAGCTTTGAGCAGAAGAGTTTAGGGATAGTTCCCAGGCCCTGAGGTCAAGTTCCACGACTGACCAAAAAAAGGATAACTGCCAAACTTCAGAGCCAATCTCTAGGCTCTACTTCCCATCAGATCATAGAACACATATGACTACTGCTTCCTGGGACCGGCATGTTCCTCAGGACACTGCTCTGAGAGTGGCCTCATGGGAGAGGCCACTGAAACAGAGGGGCCTGCTCTCTGATTGGAGACATCCACGTGTGGCTGGGTGAAGCCTGACACATTTGAGATACGCTCACCACCCACTCCCCTTCATGAGGCATGCCTTACTTGGGCCTCTCCGAGTCAGAGGGTGGCAATATTATCATCACCAGAGAGGACTTCTCGGTGGCTGAACAGGAGGCCACCACGTTCAGGCGGGGAATGAACTTGACCTGCTCACACCAGTTGGTATGGACAGCCTGGAGAAGAGAGTGACCCTGTCAAGATCAGTCCTCACCCAACCCCAGTCCCTCCTGAATATGACAAGTGCAAGGGACTAGAAGGTTCCAGAGATCACAGGGTCTAAGGCTCTTCCTTCCTCCAGAGACCACATCTCAGCTAGCGCAGGCTCAGTGATCAGGGATGAGTGGCCATCCCTGGTCTTGGAAAATGCTGAAAACCCCCAGGTCTAGTATCATCTGCACTCTTGTTTTCTAACATTGTTTTTCCCAACAATGAAGTACCAGTTGGTCTCCACAGATGCCTGTGCTTCTGGGTCCACTGCTGCCTCTACACTTTTCATGGCATGCTCACAGGAGCACATACCTTGCCTGTATCTGTGGTAAAAGAAGGATGACGGCTACTCCGGCAGAAGCAGCAGACCATGGGCTGCTAGTTTTCCCCAGCTTTGACTCTATGATAGGGATTCACTACTTGTCCTCCCAATCTGGAGTTTGTTCTCTCTGGGAGAAAAGGAAAGGAGAAGAAAGAATGGAAGAGAGAGATGAATGAGAGACCAGATCATCAATCACTCAGGCAGTGTGTAAGGCACTGTGCTAGGCTTTCTGTCACTGTCTCCCCAAATGTCTATTCCAATGACAGCACAAACCTAAGGCACTGATTTGAGTCCTGGGATACTGAACAACATGGAGAAAAACCATACCCAAGACCAGATTCTCACAGCAGATTAAAAGGAAGAAAGAAATGGGTGCCACCTTTCTGATGTGGCCAGAAGACCTACTCTAAAAGAAGCCTCTAGAAGTCCTGACTCAGATGCCCTGAGGGTCTCATTTGTTTATTCCACAAATTATACTGAGAGGCCACTGAGCTGGAGCAATGTCTCAAGCACTAAAGATTGAACCGAGAGGACAGCACACACAGTGCCTTTCCTTAAAGAGGTGACATTGTCATGAGGATACAGGACAAGAAGGAAGAAACAGATGGTGAGATTGCTTCAAATACATCATTGATACTGTGCAAATGTAAGAGTAAATTCCCCTCTGTGTAACTAATGTAGGTTAAAATAAATAGACGGAAAATAATAGACGGACCTCACAAAGTCAGGACTGGTAACCACAAGTGCAAGGATAAAGGCAGAAGTGGGCAGCAGGTTGTTCTATGGTTAGTTGGTTGATAGGACCAGAAGGAAGCGAAGGAACAGCAACATAGGAACCAAGCAGCAAAGTTCAGCAGCCTGAAGAAACATGTGCCTAGGCCCTGTGGTGCCTGGTCTCAGCAGCAGAGAAAACAAGAAGAAAAGGTGGCACAGAGGGGGATGGGGGGGGGGAACCGGAAATAAATAAGCCTGGAATGAACCAAAGTCCTGATGGCCACAAGATGATAATGAGAGCAGAGCTACAGGAACAACACAGCCATATTGCTGACACAAACTTCCTCTGGCTACTGCATGGAGAAAGGGAGGGCGAGGACAGGAAGAAGGGCAAAACTTGTGGGCCCAGAAGTAGCAGTGAAGATGGTGTGGTACCAGGGACACATGTGTTCTGCAATGTGCTGATGGAATCCAACCGCAATCCTACTTTTACAGTCTAAACCCCAAGGCCTAAGGTGGAACCCAGGGAGTAAAACCATTTAGCCTGTGAGTGGAATGTGTACATGGGTAAGTGCCACGGTATCTATCAAGCCAAAGAAAGACACAACTTACCCTTAGTCGGTAACTTTTATACAGAGTGGACTTCTCTTTTAAGAGTTTCCTCAGGGAAATGTTGCTCAAGATTTCTGGCGGAAGAGAATAAACAAGGTTCAAGTCACCAGCTTTCCCCCTCTTCCAGACAAGAAAACTTCAGATGATGCCAGGCACTGGTGGCTCACACCTGTGTTCTTAACTACTGAGGAGGCTGAGATTGGAGGATTGCAGTTCAAAGCTAGCCTCAGAAGGGAAGTCCATGAGACCCTTATCTCCAATTAAGTACAAAAAGCAGGAAGTGGAGCTGTGGCTCAAGCAGTAGAGTACTAGTTTTGAGCACAAAAATTTAGGGACAGTTTCCAGGCCCAGAGCTCAAGCCTCAGGACTATCAAAAAAAAAGGAAAAACAAACCTCTAATGACATCTTGTATTTCTCTGTAACTCCTTGCTTCTTAAGAGCTTTCCCAACAAATGCTCACTCAGGCGTTGGCAGGACCTAGGGCATTCAGCACTGCCACCCAGCATGCTCCTGCAGCTCCCAGCAGTGGAAGGAAGAGACTGACCAGGTCTGCTACAATTGAAATAGGCTGACTCCATAATGAACTCCAGCCTTGCTAGAGAGGAGAATGAACTGAGAGCTCAGGCTCTACTCACTCAGAAATGAAATCCTTTGGCAGCTTGCCATCATGCCTCAGGATACATGGCCTCCTTAGGCAGGAAGCACCAGTTCTAGGAAGTGGAAAGTGTGTACATGCATGATGAACAAGCAAGTTTGGAGTGCTAGGCACTGCATGCAGCTCAGCCCTGCTTGGGGCTCAGAGTCTCCTGACTGCTCCTTCTCCACCCAAGGGTAGCAGCTGAAGAACTTTCTAGATAGAACAGTAGCTGATCTAGATGGGTAAAACCAGAGATGCTTGGGGACAAAAATACAGACCTGTTCTCTGGAGCAATTCATAGAGGTAGGCAGGCAAGGCAGCCTGGCCTTTGGGCTTACAGCAACTCCCAGGGGATGCGGAGGTGAGTGGTGGAAGGAGGGATTCTGAGGATTTAAGTCAAGCATCTTTTTTCTTTTCTATCAGTCATGGGGCTTGAACTCTGGGCCTGGGCACTGTCTCTGAGCTCTCCAGCTCAAGGTGAGCACTCTACCACTTGAGCCACAGAGCCACTTCCAGTTTTCTGGTAGTTTGTTGGAGTCTCAGAGACTTCCTGCCCAGGCTGGCTTTGCACTGTGAGCCTCAGATGTCGGCCTCCTGAGTAGCTAGGCTTACAGGCATTAGCTACTGGCACCCGGCTATGTCAAGCTTCTTAACTGCTATAAAGTCACCAACCCCACTTGAAAGGAAGGGAGGAAGTTTATAAGCCTCACACCAGGTAGGATGTTACTCAAGGCTGGGACAAGGGAAATGCAGCACAATCAGGTTCTTATTCATTTTATTCACTAACACTATGCTTTCATTCCACACATCCTATAGCAAAGCCATCAATTAAGCATGGCTGCCATATTTGCATAAGGAGGGCACCCAGAGCTGGATGCATACCTAAGTCTGCCCTTCCGCTCCCACACCCACAGGCTAGCCCACCATCTACACGTTGGTCCCCAGCCTGCAGTTAGCCAATGGCCTAGAAGGAGTCCTTCCCCATGCTCAAGTTCCATTTGGCTCCCATGCTGTCCCACCCACTCAGAGATCAACACGGCCTCCGATCTAATTGCAAGGGTGGCACAATAACTGCGACAAGGCTGGCACCAAGGTGCCTCGAGATGGACACGGAATGGCCTAGAGGCCCAACAGTGTGCATCCAAAGTGTGATACTAGACAGGGTACAGCTCAGATGGGTCCCAAGACAGCCTCAGGCCCTGAGGTCATCAGGCCTAAGAGGCCTGAGGCTGGCTATCTTGCCACTGGGTGTCTAGGGCCCCTTGGCAAAACAGCTCCAGATAGCTTTCATTGTCAGTTTGGCCTGACACGGGTTAACAGTGTGGTCTCTGGATGGATATCTGACTTTAGGCCTCAACCGCCACTCACTAGCTGCAGGTGTGTATAGTTATAACCTGCTAAATTTCTCTGGTTAAGAGGGCTTACCTTCCAGGCACTAGGTGGAGCTCAGGGGAGGTGGCTCCCCAAAGAATGGCTCACAAGTGCTCCCTGTGTTTAGCCATGCTCCCTCTAAGCTAGGTGGTCCTCAGACCCACTCTAAGGCTCCATTCCACTCACCCTCAGGCAGCTCAAGACCTAGAAGGGCAGAAGCTGCCATACCACCATGGATGAAGGTCCACTACCCCAGGCCTCTGAGAACAAGCAAGAGGGGTTTCTTCCAGGTCACAGCTGGCAGGTTTCATTCTTCCTAGATCTGCAGCCCCTCCTCCCCACCCCCCCACCAGCCCTCACCTCTATAAGCTCCCACCTGCAGGAGACTGCCCCTCATCTCAGTCCTTCTTGTTTTCTCCCACCTGCACACCCAGACCACTGGGCACAGCAGGCAGCCCCCTGTGAGCTCCAAGGAGCAGCCTTCCCAGAGGTCCTGCCTGGGGAGAAGGGAGAGAGGAGCCCACTTCTACACACACTCCCCCAGGCCACTGCTCATGCCCGTGCATTGTAGCTACCAAATCTGGTGGTCTTGGGGAAGAGGCTGGGGTTGAACAACCCACTGGTCACATCGTCAGAGGTGAAGATGATGACGTTGCCCTTGGTGTCCCCATAGCAGAACACGCCTCTTTGATAGTCAGACCTGGAGAAAGATGGAGACAGAAGCGTGCCGTGCCCTCCATCTTGGGAGTGAGGACAGTAGCAATGGGCTTTACAGTCTTGCCCTATACCTCTTCCTAGCTTACCAACTCACGCCCAAAAGACCCAGATTCAGATCATCATTGAACCAGAATTTCACAATGTTTCAAACAGTTTTGTTTCTCAGAATCCTCAGCCACACCAAACCAGCATCTGCCAGAATTGGCTATGTGGAGGGGGAGATGGAGGGAGAGGAGCACTCAGGCTCCAAGGTCAGAGTGACAGTAATGGTGGCCCGAGGTAAAAGGAGGCTTAAGAAGGACACAGGCCCCTCAGAAGCAAAGGAGTGGAGATCATTCCAGGCCTGTCCCCATGGAGATTTTCTGGAGTCCAAACCCATTCCCCTAACTATATGTTATAGCAGCTGCCATGATCCTGCATGCCTGAGACTCACCAGTAATCCATAACCAGAACACAGCTATCCAGGTCAAAGAAGGTGAAGGCCCGGACACAGTTATGGTTACTGATATCAAAGAACTCTGAGGAAAAGACAGAAGAGAACTTGACAATGGTGAACAGCCTAGTCTCTCTACCTGACTGTACTGCCGAGGGCTCCCCTCCATCCACGCTCCCAGGTACACATGTGGGGCTCCCAACTGCCACTGGAGAGCCCCAGGGACTCACCAATTTTCAGATCAGTGGATGCAACTGCGATGAGGTTCATGTTGTGCAGGCACACCATATCGATGACCCATATCTGCTGTTTGTGGAGCTTCTGAAGATCCTTAAGCTGAGGGAGAAAGGACGGCAGAGGCTTGGGTCGAGAAGGCTGATCGTGGAGGATGGCAGGCACAGAGGGCCTTGCAAACCCTGTCTTGCCTCACAGGCCAGCATCAGGCACAGAGTGAAGAACATGAAGCTGACTGGTGTAACCGGGATGTGAATGGCTTTTGTGCTCACCTAGGAGTCCCAGGACCACCGCAGACCTTAGCCTCTCTTTCCCAAGGGATGAGCCCTGCAGCAGGTGCAAAGCACTGTGCAGGGTGGGGGCTGCAGAGGAATATGGGTACAAAACCCTTTTGTGCTGCCAGCAGCATTCTCCATGAGGTCTTTCTGTGAAACTGTACTTTTCTTCATTTGCTGCAGGGTATTAGGCTTGTCTGGCTGTGCCAAATACACAGTGGGTTTTCACTTACTCAATAGAAAGATCATGATGTTGGCTTCCATTTATTGGGTACTTGTTATGTGCCTTGCCCTTGCTCAAGCTCTGCTCCTGTCTTCGCATGAACTCCCACAGCCCTGGGAGGGACACTAGTGATATACAAGCAAGCCCCTCTTGACCAACCTTGCCTAAGTCACAGGCAAGTAGGTGGTGCAGCTGGGATTCTGACAGTTGGGACTCCAGAGTTTGACATCATGTGCTCACAGCCACATGACGCCCTGCCTCGCCTGGCAAACATGTGAATCAGCAGGTATTGGGGACAAGGTGGGTGTGACAGGAAAAGGAGGCACACTTCTAGCATAAGAGCCTTGTTGGGTGACACCATTCTCTGAAGCAGGGACTCAAGCACGATAAGGCTTGTGGGCAGGGGACTCCAGTAATATGCCATTTGGACAAGCTAGGCTGCAGGTCTCTGACAGCTATCCAAGTGGAGGAGCTGGCATCTGGGTGTAATTCCACTTAGCAGAAGAGAGGGTGAGGTTTCTGAGGAGAGGACAGGATCTGGACTCAAGACCTATAAGTCAGGCTGTTTAGGTCCCAAATCCCAGAGAAAAGCCCACTCCAGTGCCAGGATAGACACGTAACACTTCCAGAGTGCTATAGCAAATGCTCTTCAATGACTGTTTGCTCCAAATGTACCAGCCCCACTCACCCTAAAGGAGCTAATGATAGAGAAAGCCTCAGTCCAGAACTGCAAGATTCCATCTTTGGTGATAGTCAGAAAAACCCCACTTTTCTTGAAGCGCTGGATTAAATATTCCACTTTCACGATCTCACATCCGTGATTCCTGTGAACAGCAAGAAGCATGCAGAATGACCTCAGAACTGGCAACTACAATGGAACAAAAAGCCAGAGAGGAGGGAGGTAAAGTAAGCAGAGCAGTGTCACTCACTCATGCATACATGCACAGTACACCAAGAAACTGTAGCTGCCTCCAGAGATGGACTAGATCAACCATCTACTGGGCCATAAGAAAAAGATTCTTTTTCTGATATGTCTGAAGTACTGGGTTTGATCCCCAGTGCCACAAAAAAAGGGGTAAAGGAAAAAGAGCCAAGTATGACGCAAGTGGGAGATGGGGCTCCAAAAACACACCCAGAGAAATAAGCTAAGTCCCTAATGGGGGGTAGAACAGAGGGGACAGAGACAATGGGTCTTGTACAAGACAGCAGTGGGGTGAGGCTATGACTGAGATAAGAAATAACACTTTCTGGCCATTGCTCTAGCACTCTGATGTGGAATGGGAGATCAAACCCAAGAATGAGGCAAGAGTGGAGCAAGAGACAATGAGGAATTAGGGTCTGCATACCCAATTCTTCATCTCAGGATAGGGACTGAACACAGTTTCCTAGAGCAGACCTGGCCTCGCAGGATGCTACATTTCACAAGCTTCAGTGCTACCTTCCAATGGCCCCAAAGTTGTCTTAAGCAAACTATCTGACCATTGGGAGCCACCATCAATTTGGCTTCCTGACATGGCATTCCAGACACTTTTCCACTTCATATGCTCAGTCTTTTGACATCTGGCAGGCTGGATCATCTTATGCCACCTTACAAGGATCCGAAGACACTCTCGCTGTGGAGCTACAGCCTGGTTGGGAGCAAAGCCAACTAAATGCAGGTGCCTTCATCCTAACTGCAGGGCCCGTTCCAAACTGTGCTGTGGGCATGTTCTGACTGCAACCCATGCTACTGTGAAATCCAACTGCAGTCCAATCTCCACAAAAGAGAAGGGAAAACGTATACATGGTCCCTTCTGTCCTGCCTCATTCCATGGCTCCATGAAGATCCATTCTCTAGTCATCACTGCCAATCAGACCATGAGGAGCTGGTACAACATGAAGGGCATAAATGAAGACAGCCCAAGAAGTGTCATCTCCGAGGTCTTGTCTACTCCTCTAGGTAACACCACCTCCCAGGATGGTGAGGGGATTAACATGGGTAGTGAATTTGGTTTTTTAAAAACAAGGTTGGCATAAACTGGGTACCAATGACTCATGCCTTATAATCCCAGCTACTCAGGAGACTGAGATCTGAGGATCACAGTTCAAAGCCAGCCCAGGCAGGAAAGTCTGTGAGACTTATCTCCAATTAACTAGCAAAAAGCAGAAAGTAGAACTGTGGCTTTGAGCAAAAAAAAGCTTAGAGACAGAATCCAGATCCTGAGTTCTTGGCATACACACACACACACACACACACACGCGCGCGCGCGCGCGTGTGCGTACAAACACACACACACACACAGAGTTACCCTTTCATGAAAGTAACTAAATGCTGTTGGTTATTTTTCACCATCAAATTTGAAATTCTTTCTGGGCTTAAAGATTGTACAAATATAAAAATTACAAACAAGGAACAAGCTTCTTGACATTTTTGTCTGAAAACCTTTTTTTTCCTTTGTTGGTCATGGGGGTTTGAACTCAGAGCCTGGGCGATGTTCCTGAGCTTCTTTTGTTCAAGGCTAATGCTCTACCACTTGAGCCACAGTGCCATTTCCGGCTTTTTCTGTTTATGTGGTCCTGAGGAATCGAACCCAGGGCTTCATGCATGCTAGTCAAACACTCTACCACTGAGCCACATTCCCAACCAACTTGCTGATGACTTTTTTTCTGAGAACCTTTAAACATTGTTGGGATCTAAATGTTCCAAGGAAACAGAAAGACCAGTAAAGGTGTAGCTGCATCAAGAAAAGTATTCATGCCAAAGTAGAGTAATAAAATCTTTTACTATTTATACTATTGACTTCTCCTCAATAAAATCCCAACTAAGCTTTTTTTTTTTATAAGTTACCCTTTTATGATGTTCATTTAAATTCTCTTCTCTATTAAGTCCTGTGCTACCTGCAGGCAGGAAGTACCTGAGGACATGTCCACCCACACCTTCTCCTGACTGGGCCACAAATATAGGTCACCATACCACAGGAGCAGAGTCTCTGGCCTTTGCCATCTGTCCAAGGCCTTTGGTGCTCCCCAACACAAGGTGGGTTCAAGGAAAGGCATCAATGACCAATAGGCAGCCTTCTTCAAGAGCCTTAGCAGCCAAGGACTGCTCTGGTTAGCAGGCCAGAGCCACCAAGAGCGTTTCTTTGTTACAAGAGTTTTGAGGGAAGAACACAAAGGGGGAACAGATAGAACCATAACACAGAAAGGAGGAGGTCATTGAAGCTTGACCCCTATGACCCCAAAATATGTTAAGCTGAAGGAATGTGAAGTTGATGTCTGTTGATTGGGGTAGGGAGGGAGGGGGGGAGGAGGGGTGACTTCTTGACCTTCTCCTGAAGGTCAGATCTACTGGAATCTATTTCTGCATAGCAGGAGAGAATTAGTCTCTGTGTCTCTGATGACCCCAGGACACAGAGGAATCTGAAGAGACAGGCTTGCTAAGTGTCCCCAAGCACTATATTCATTTCTCACCCCCTTGTCCTATCTTCTCACCCCTTCATCCTGTCTTACTTCACCAAACTTAGCACAAAACATTAGGGTTTAACCATGTCTTAGGGGCTTCATTTCCTTATGAAGGTCCCTGCTGTAATGTGAAACAATAAATCTGTATGCTTGTCTCTGTAGATCTGTCTTCTATTAGAAGTCCAGCCAAAAGCCTGGCACCAGTGGCTCATGCCTGTAACCCTAGCTATTCAGGAGGCTGTGATCTGAGGATCGTGGTTCAAAGCCAGCCCGGGAAAGAAAGTCCATGAGACTCTTATCTCCAATTAACCACCAGAAAACCAGAAGTGGCTCAAGTGGTAGAGCGCTAGCATTGAACTGAAGAGCTGAGAGACAGCGCCCAGGCCCAGAGTTCAGGCCCCATGACCAACAACAACAACAACAAAAAGTCCAGCCAAGAAATCTAAGATGGATAGAAGAAAAGGTTGTCTTCCCCTCTCCAAAGTCCAGTGGGCACAATGGGTATTGAAGCAGTCAGGCAAAGTCAAGAGAGTCTCCAGACAGGTGCCTATGGCTCACACCTGTAATCCTAGCTACTCAGGAACCTGAGATCTGTGAATAACAGTTCAGAGCCAGGCAGGAAAACCTGTGAGACTCTTACCTCTAATTAACTACCAAAAGCCAAAAATGATGCTGTGGCTCAAAGTAGTAGAGCACTAGCCTTGAGCACAAAAGCTCAGGAACAGCCTCCCAAACCTTGAGTTCAAGCCCCAGGATGGGCACACACAAAAAAGAGAAAGTGAGGGAAGGAATGACATTATCCAAAAAGAAATGTACTTATTACCTGATTTATGTAACTGTAACTGCTCGGTACATCATGTTTATAATGACAATAAAAAATACAGGATAAAAAAGCCAGAAAGGGGGACGGGCAGACAGGTACACATTGCTCCCACCTGTAATCCTAGCTACTCAGGAGGCTAAAATTTGAGGATCACTGGGAAGGAAAGTTTGAAACTTATCTCCAATTAACCACCAAAAAGCCAGAAGTAGAGTTGTGGTTCAAATGGTAGAACACTACTAGCCTTAAGTAAAATATAGCTCAGGAGAGCACCTAAGCCAAAAATAAAAGAAAAAGCACAATCATAAAAGATCCCTCCCAAGCTCCCAAAGAGCTAGCAAAGCTGAAGCCTCTGTAGCCTGCCAGGGGACTGAGGAACAAAACCCCACCCAAGCCCCAGAGGATGAAACTATCAGATCCCTTAACATGAGGAAAAGCAGGAGTAACACCATTTTAGGGTACAGGGGAGAGGCTGAGGGCCAAACAAGACAATCCTTAACTTTCTGACTAACAGCCTAGAGAGCAAGACATTGGACCTCTCTAAGTCTCAAGGGTTTTGTTTTGTGCCTATCCTGGGGCTTGAACTCAGGGCCTAGACCTGAGCTTCTTTTCTGCTCAAGGCTAGTGTTCTACTATTTGAACCATAACACCATTTCTGGCTTTTTGTCGGTCACGGGGTTTGAACTCAGGGCCTGGGCACTGTCCCTCAGCTCTTCAGTTCAAGGCGAGTGCTCTACCACTGGAGCCACAGCACCACTTCTGGTTTTCTGGTGGTTAATTGGAGATAAGAGTATCTGGGACATTCCTGCTTGGAATGGCTTTGAACCACTATCCTCAGATCACAGCCTCCTGAGTAGCTAGGATTATAGGCATAAGCCACCAGAGCCCGGCCATTTCTGGTTTTTTTCTGGGTAGTTTATTGGAGATAAGATTCTTACAGACTTTTCTTTTTTTTGGGGGGTCCGGTCGTGGGGCCTGAACTCTGGGCCTGGGCGCTGTCCCTCAGCTCTTCAGCTCAAGGCTAGAGCTCTACCACTTGAGCCACAGTGCCACTTCCGGCTTTTTTTCTTTTTGCTTATGTGGTGCTGAGGAATCGAACCCAGGGCCTCAGGCATGCAAGGCAAGCGCTCTACCACTGAGCCACCTTCCCAGCCCCTCTTACAGACTTTTCTACTCAGGCTGGCTTTAAACTTCGATCCTCAGATTTCAGTCTTCTGAGTATCTAGGATTTCAGGTACAAGCCACGACAACCCAGCACCTGTTTCTTTATCTATAAACTGGGAGAACAAATCACCCACCTTCATCGTCATTAGCTCTTATAGAGCTGTGAAGCTCACAAGACTAGAGGAAGTGCAGCACAGAGCCTGGTGTCAGGCACTTAAGTAGACCAGCAGAGGGTGCATCAACTCAGGAAGTTGCTCCCTGCAGGGCTGGTTCCACACCTCTCCCTCCCCACCACCCAAGGTGCTGGGAGAGGCTCTCACAGGTGGATGATCCTCATGGGTAAGTAGAAGTGCAGACGGTACTGGTTCTTCCTGGTCTCTTCCTTTACCCTTAACTCCCGCATCATGAAATCTACATACTTTTGCTGGAAGACAGAAAGAAAGTGTTGGTGGCAGGATATTTGTGTTCAGGAACCAAGCCTGGTTTCCAGTCTTTCCCTTTCTCACCCCAGCATGGTACAAGGGACTCTTAGGACTGCTTTTGGGGCCATGGAAGTAGCCAAGCATTGATGCTTGATGCTTGAATCCCAAATATGGGAAGGGCCTATTCACAATAGCAAACCACTACCTTCTTCCTGAACTCTCTATGTAATGCCAAGCACACCTGGGTCACATCACAGCTGGCATTTCACTTAAAGCTTCTTATTTCCCTCCACCTTACATAAATCATAATAATACTGAGGCTTATGTATGTATGATCATGGCCAATTCCATGATCAAGTTTACATCAGGGAAGACCCATAACTAGATTGATGCACTCGTATTGCAAATATTTACAACTCTAGTCTCAGCTTCTAGTCTCAACAGGGCCCAAACAAGCCATCATATGAAGTTACCACAAAAAATAAACCAGATCTGGGCATACTGGTGCCTATCTGTATACAGCTACTAGAGGGTGGGGAGAGACAATTACAGGAGCAGAGAAGTTTGAAGTTAAGCCCATTACAAAAACCATTTATAAATAAATAGGCGTGATTAAGAATCATCGTATAAACAGTAGAAAATACTGGCAACATGGTTATTACAGAATGTTATGAGAAATTAATTAAATAAGCAAGCCTGGAATGATATTCCAGTGTGAGGGGGTCTATATCCTATAGAAGATCACATGGGCCTCTGAAGCACTCTCTGAGTTTGAACACCAGTTCAACTGCTAACTAGCCCTGCAACCCTGGAAAAGTTTCCAAACTTCTTCATGTTTCAGTTGCCCAACTTGCTAGTGACAAATAATGGCACCTAACTCATGGGATTCCTTTGAGTTTTGAGCAGAATAGCACAAGAACTGTTTAGCACGGAGTCTCACATAATTATGATGATTTACAGACTCAGCTTGGTGCTATTTTGTATGCTTAAATACTATGTGCACTTAATGGAGAACATTTAGAATTAGAAGAAATAAAATCAGCCTTAAAGTTATGCTATAAAGAAAGCCCTAGTTGGGGCTGGTAAGGTGGCTCAGTGGTAGAGTGCTTGCCTTGCATGCATGAGGCCCTGGGTTCGATTCCTCAGCACCACATAAGCAAAAGAGAAAAAAGTCGGAAGTGGTGCTGTGGCTCAAGTGGTAGAGTGCTAGCCTTGAGCTGAAGAGCTGAGGGACAGCGCCCAGGCCCAGAGTTCAGGCCCCACGACCAGACTCCCCCCACCCCCCCAAAAAAGAAAGCCCTAGAAACTCTGGATCTCATAACCTTCAGTTGGCTTCTGCCTGAGTGATTTATAATGAATACAGGAGCTTGTATCCTTTAGTTGGACAAGAGGTTAGTGGGCAGAACAACCATAAGATAGTCTGAAGCAAGGATCACTGACACTCACCACACCCTTTCCTGGGCCCCAGGACAGGCATGACATGTGAGCTCAGCTCACAGAAGTTTCAAGGGTCCCCTCTATCACACGAGGCTCTTTCTACCTAGCCAGCATCCAGCTGATATGGGAATCCAAAGAGGTTGTCTCTCCACCTTCATGTGGTTCTGCCAACAGGCCAAGAGTATACACGCACTCACACTCTAGTGTGCAGCCGGTCACACCCGCACTTGCACTCATACCATTTTCACTCTCTTCTCACCCAGGAGACACTGCCATCACAGTCTGAGTCCACTTTCAAGAACAGTGCCTCCAGCATCTCATCTGTAACACTGCTCAGCACCTTCTTCATGGACTTAATGAAAGTTTTCAAGTCCAGGGCTTCAGAAAGAAAAGAAAAAATATCACACATTTAGCCACAAATCACTCAGATACCCAGGGCCTGTGGTGTCCAGGGGCCTAGGTGCTAGGAGGGCACAGGCAGAGGACTACATCTACTGGATGCCTTCTGCTTAAGGCACACTCCTTCCTGCGTGCCTGCAATGCCCAGTGAACTGTTGCTGGGGAAAGAAGGACTATGGCTCCTGCCAGAGGTGTGGAGGCTTGGGAAGCAGCTTCTTTCCAAGCCCCTCACATAGAGACATTTGCTTGGTCCCATCTATCCTAGCAGAGAACTGCTTCCTGAAGCTTCCACTCTAACTTTTTTTTTTGGTTGTGGGGCTTGAACTGTCCCTGAGCTCTTCAGCTCAAGGTGAATACTCTACCACTTGAGCCACAGTACCACTTACAGTTTTCTGGTGGTTCATTGGAGATGAGAGGCTCCAGGGCATTTCTGCCTGGGCTGGCTTTGCACCCTGATCCTCAGATCTCAGCCTCCTGAGTAGTTAGGATTACAGGCATAAGCTACCAGTGCCCAGCTTGGTTTGTTGTTTGTTTGGTTTGGTTTTTGGTCAGTCCTGGGGCTTGAACTCAGGGCCTTGGGCACTATCCCTGAGCTTCTTTGCTCAAGGCTAGCACTCTACTACCTGAGCTATGGCGGCACTTCCAGCTTTTTCTGTTTATGTGGTACTAAGGAATCAAACCTAGGGCTTCATAAATGCTAGGCAATCACTCTACCATTAAGCCACATGTATGTAGTTGTAATTCTTGTTCCTGAAGGTCACAGGAAGAAAAGAGTAACTGCATAAAGGGAAAAACCCAACAATCATGGAGGTTGGAGGGAGAGCCGGTTTCTCTGCATACCGAAAGGTATCCTGGGATGTGTACCTTTGGGATTTGAACTGTATGAATATATTGCATGTTCAAAACTAATGTAAACACCAACCATAGCCTAAGTTTATACTGTTGGGGTCCTCTAAGACCTAACAGTGGTTGAATTGCAGAGTGGACTGAACAAAACCTCCAGCATCACTTTCTCTTGGTTGTTTGCTTTTAAAATCACTACTCACAGGGCTGGGAAGGTGACTCAGTGAAAGAGTCCTTGTCTTGCATGCATGAGGCCCTGGGTTCAATTCCTCAGCACCACATAAATAGAAAAAGTCGAAGTGGAGCTATGGCTCAAGTGGTAGAGCACTAGGCTTGAGCTAAAGAGCTGAGGAAACAGCGCCCAGGCCCAGAATTCAGGCCCCATGACTGACCCCCCGCCCCCAAAAAAATCATTCACTTTAAAATAAGTAATTCTGGGGGCCAAACAGCTGAGTACTGTATTATTAATCTCTTATTACCTTTGCTGTAACTAATACCTCTGACATGGGGGTATGATGATAACTGCCTACGACATTTTTAAAAGAATTAAAGGCTTCTTTTTTATTTTTTTTGAGAAAGGGAAAGTACTAGGTTAAACTCAAGAGCCTTATACTTTCTATGTTTCTTTTTGTTCCTGTTTGGAGTTTTTAAGGTTTGGGGGCTGGTCCTGGGGCTTGAACACAGGGCTGGACACTGTTGCTGAGCTTTTTTTGCTCAAGGCCTAACTCTCTACCACTTGAGCCACAGCTCTATTTCCAGCTTTTTGGTAGTTAATTGGAGATTAAGAAGCTCACAGACTTTCTTTTTTTTTTTTTCCGGTCGTGGGACCTGAACTCTGGGCGGGACGCTGTCCCTCAGCTCTTCAGCTCAAGGCTAGCATTCTACCACTTGAGCCACAGCCCACTTCGGGCTTTTTTCTTTTTGCTTATGTGGTGCTGAGGAATCGAACCCAGGGCCTCCAGCATGCAAGGCAAGCGCTCTACCACTGAGCCAACTTCCCAGCCCTCACAGACTTTCTTGACCCAGCTGGCTTCTTTTATTTTTTTGGGGGGGGGGGAGGGTCCAGTCGTGGGGCCTGAACTCTGGGCCTGGGCACTGTCCCTCAGAACTCTGGGCCTGGGCGCTGTCCCTCAGCTCTTCAGCTCAAGGCTAGTACTCTACCACTTGAACCACAGTGCCACTTCTGGCTTTTTCTGCATATGTGGTGCTGAGGAATCAAACCCAGGGCCTCAGGCATGTAAGGCAAGCGCTCTACCACTGAGCCACCTTCCCAGCCTCCCAGCTGACTTCTAACTACAATCCTCAGATCTCAACCTTCTGAGATGCAATGTTGACAGTTGTGAGCCACCAGCACCTGGAGATTGTAAGTTTTAAATGAGCCAAAACGCTGGTATGGTGTGAACTCTCCATACACCCAGATACTGGTCATGAGCAGAGTTCAGAGGCCAGGCCTGCAGTGCAGCCTTACCTCCATTTAAGCCGACATCCTCCTCAAACACTTTCTCCACTTTGGCTAAGTGGAGCTCAGTGAAGTGATGAATCTTGTGGTAGATGAAAGAACTCTGGCTAACAGTGGTGGATGCTAGCCGGGAACTGGACGCTTCTTTGACCTGGATGGTTATAGGAACCAGAAACGGACAGGGTTCATTCCCTGAGCCAACAATTTTTCACCATGTCTTAGGTAAAAAAGAGACCCCTTGTGGGGCTGGGAAGGTAGCACAGTGGTAGAGCACTTGCCTTGCATGCATGAAGCCCTGGGTTCGATTCCTTAGCACCATATAAGCAAAAAAAGAAAAAGCCGGAAGTGGCGCTGTGGCTCAAGTGGTAGAGTGTTAGCCTTGAGCTGAAGAGCTGAGGGACAGCACCTAGGCCCAGAGTTCAGGCCCCACAACCGGACCCCTCCCCCCCCAAAAAAGAGACTCCTTGGGAAGAATATGCTAAGTTGTGCTACTTTTAGTTACTTACTGGTAATCAAGATCAGTAAAAATCTAGATCAGTTCTACTGACCCTGAAGAGTTAACTACCATACCTCTTATACAGAGGCTCACCAATGTTAGGACTCATTTATTCACGGCCTGAGCCCCAATAAAAGCAAATCTATTCATGTTGCTATGAAAGCTCACTTACTCATGGTCCACACGTTTACTATGCACTGTGCATCCAACAACAAACAATGATGTCCCAGCCTTCATGGAGTCCAATAGATAAGTTGACTCTGCTCTCACCATCCACCAAATTAGGAATCTCAGCAACATTTTCAGCTCTTCTCTCCATGCACTCTTCTTATCTTCAACTTACTGTAGATTCTTTTGGTTTTATTTTAACCAGTCTTGGGGCTTGAACTCAGGGCCTAGATACTGACCCTGAGCTTTATTTTTTTGCTCAAGGGTAGCACATTACCACTTGAGCCACAGCACTACTTCCAGCTTTTTAAAAAAAAATTTTATTGTCAAGGTGACATACAGAGGGGTTACAGTTACATACATAAGAGAATGAGTACATTTCTTATCAAACATTGTGATCTCACCCTCATTTTTCTCCCAGTTTCCCTCCTCTCTTCCCTACCCCCCAGCTTTTTGCCTGGGCTGGATTTGAACTCTAATCCTCAGATCTCAGCCTCCTGAGTAGCTAGGATTATAGACATGAGCTACCATCACCCACCTCAATTGTTGATTCTCCCATATGTAATACTTCCTCAAATTCATGTCACACCCCAAAGTCTGACCCTTTTTTTGTGCCATCCTGGAGCTTGAACTCAGTACTGTCCCTAAGGTTTTTGTTTAGCTCTCTATCACTTGAACCACAGCTCTACTTTCCAATTTTTCTGTTTAATTGTAGACAAAAAATCTCACACTTTCCTGTTCAGGCTGGCTTTATATTGCAATCGTCAGATCTCAGCCTCTTGAGAAGCTAGGATTATAAGCATGAGCCACAGGTGCCTGGCTCAAAGTCTAACTTTTTGTGGGGTCAAGTACAATGACCTCACAAAAGATCAGAGTCCGGTCTTTCCTTCTGACCCACCAGCCAACACTGGCACCCATCATCTTCCTAGAAGGCAAGTTTTCCTGACCTGCCCCCTAACTGCTCCCTCTACCTCCTAAGCATGGCATTCAAAGCTCTGTATAACCCAGCTCTGACCTAGTGCCAATGCAGGTATCAGGTTCCAGGCAGCCTCAAGACAGTAGGCATTCCATTTCTACTCACACTTTCCCTATGCACAATCCAGCCCACCTGACCCAGAAGTAAACTCCCCACCCATTCTCTAATCTGGCTCAGATAGTACTTCTTCAAAGCTTTTCCTTAATTTCTAACTGAGAGCCACCGTCACCTCAATTTTCCCAGGCTTTTTGTTCAGACATCATCTGGTGCCCCTTGGAGATGGAGCTCTGTGCAGCAGCAGGCAGACATTATGGCAGGTCTCTACCTACACATGAACACTGCAAGCAGGAGGGGAAGCACAAGGATGCAGAAGGCTCCAGAGCTCTGGGCTAGGATTCTGCCTGGCTCTCCCAATTCAAGCTGTGTTATCTTGGATTCACTTGTCTGAGGCACAGAGCTTGCCATCCAACCCCACAGTGTAGGGTTGTGGAGAACTAATTAGCTCCTGAGTACTCGGGAAGCCCAGCAAAGTTGACTTCACAATAAATGACAGCTCTTGTCACTCATTTCATTGAGCTAAGACAAGAGTATGCTCATTTATCTTAATCTTAATTTGTATTATCTCTGTTATTATCCAGCCCCATACACTTAATTAAAAGATCGTATAGATTAGGCTTAGTAGTAATTTATATAGCCCAGTTTATCATTATTATAACTTTGCTGGACAAAAATATTAAGACATGTATAGATTAAACTGATGGGTCTCCTGCCAGGTGCTGGTGGCTCATGCCTCAGGAGACTGAGATCTGAGTGACTCAGTTCAAAGCCAGCCCGGGCAGGAAATTCCCCGTGAAACTCTTTTTTTTTTTTTTTTTTTT